ATTGACAGGCATATTCAGCTACATAAGGCGCTTATTTCGTATTTAGCAGTCATTGGATCCATAAGCAAGCGGATAGAGGCTAAGCATGCTTTTTTCAGGAGACTTGCAGAATATCAAGAAGCAAAACTTAAGGTCGCATTTTCCGATCCTTGGAACCCGCGGGACAATTTCCTCAACAAAATATACATATAGTTAACACACTAACAAGTGAATAACTAGTGAAAAATACAAAAAACGATCAAAAATTGAAAGTAAAAATGCTCACCAAAAGAAGCAGTGCACATAAGTGAATCATGGACGCTCAACTCATCTGATTAGCGAATATGAATCAGGACATGGAAGGCGTCAGTGCCACCTGTTGACCGCTGCAGTTGTGAGGGTCCACACAGGTTGTCGCCGAGCCGAGGTTGAGGGTACGCCCCTTTGAAGGGTTTCACCGGCCCAAATCGAGGAGCTAATCGACGAAATACGGCGGACCACCTCAAATCCGCGCCGCGGCAAGATGGTGAAATGACAGTGAGAGTTGGGTCAGACGAGGGATTACGTGGATTGAAATGGGGCAGTAGCGCGACACACAATCCTTCAGAAGTGAGATGACGAGATGTGAATGTCGTGTTCTTTCATCAATGGGACGCCGTCCGATTTCTTTTCATGTCCGAATAGCAATCATTTGATGAATTGTTGTTTTTCTCGGTAACAAAAAAGTAGGTCCGATCAGTGGTGAAAAGTGAATGGATCCAGACATACGGTTGACCTCACGGGACCGTTACGTAGAAATAGCGATTGGACAGGTGATTTTTACGGAACGGGCCAACGGCAACGAGTCGGCAATTACTCAGCGGCAATCGTCGGCGTGAGCGTTGCCAAGGTACCAGACGAGCGCTAACTGCTCGAGACTCAAACACTCAACAGAAACGAGCGCATAAGTACTTCCAGTTAAGATTATTCAAGATTCCGAAAAGTGAAAGAAGATTATTAAAAGAAGATTATCTTCACTTACCGTGCGCAATCCGTTCGTAGCAGAAATGGTGAAGGTATGATTGCCGTTGCCGAGACCATCCAAATGCGGGCCCACCGAGATCTCCCCCAAATCGGGATCAACTTTGAAGTAACCGTGCATCTAAAAAGAGATATTACATTTGCATCGTCCCAAGGAAAGCGAGAAAATCACGCCAGACCCTCCCTGATGACTACTAACTGTACATCACAATTTTAGTTTCCCTTACAACTTCCAAATTTTCTGGGAAATAACCTTTTTCAGAAAGACTATATGTAGCTCAAACCGTAATTAAGGAGTCAGGGCTTGCTCCAGAGTTCTATGACTTGCCAAACCTCCGAATTTCTCCCTTGTCCATTGGAAAGCGTATCCCTCGATCTGGAATGGGGTGCAAAGAGGAGAGAGTTTACGTTTGGACCCGTCTAAGCCTCTTATCCCCGAGTGTTCCGGCAATTTTCCCACGACATCCTTTGAAACGTTTGTGACACCCGATGAAATTCGTTGTATGGACATCCCACGCATGATTGCCCAAGAACTTGCTATTTTTAATGAGTTCTTGCTAGAATTACTTTGTTGACAGAACGGCTGCTCTCTACTTCCCTCATTACAGGTGCACTGCACGGCAGTCTCGTTGCAGGCAATGGAGACTATTTGAAAGCAAAACCCCGCGATTGCATACTGGCTAGCATCTACTTTCGTTGGACATGAACGCTGTCTGTTCTCATACGTCCTCTCATTGCAGCGATCCACTCTGTGAACGGCCAGTCTCAGTTGCGGGCAAGTGATACTATTTGAAAAGCAAACCCGCGATGCATGCCACCGGACCCGGACCCTGTCTCGTCTCCCTTCCTACCGCGCACCCCCTCTGTCTCCTCTTACTCCGTTCCCTTAAACCCGCGATTGCATACTGTGGGTAGTGGCATTTCGTAACGATCCCATAGTGCTAAATGACTCTCCAGGGAGAAAGAAGCAAAGAGATCTTAGTGAACATTGTAAGGACCCCTTGGTAGCCTCGCTGTACGAAGTGTCTGGGCCTACTCATTTTATGCCAGCAAAGCGATGTCCTGCCCCTTTGGCTCACTAACCGTTTCTTTGCGTATACCAAGCAAACAAAGAAAGAAAACGAAAAACCCAATGTAAAAACTGAAGTCGTGATTAAAATGGCCTTTAAGTTTCGGTGAGTGGACAAGTAAGGAGGAATGTGAACTGCCAGAGGGCCACACCGCCGCATAGGTGACAGTTCATACGCCTTCTATGTTCAGAGTGAAGCCGCGAAATGGCTATTTTACGTTGATCATAATCTCACTGTGGTGGAACATTGCCCCATGAGATAGCCCCTGTCCCCCGCTTCAGATAGGCAAATGTCGGAACATCTCAGCGGAGCCGACGAATTGGTGAGTTCTCAAACCCACGCCCTTGCCGAGTTTGCAAGTCATTTTCACGCCGAACGGTTGTGATATCCGTGTTCAACGGGCAAATTACCCTAGGAGCAGAAATCAAACTACTTTCAAGCATTTGGAAACTATCCGCAGATTCCATCGGGGGGGGGGGAGTGGGGAGAGGGTGGCCACGGCGACTCATAGGAGTCCTAGCATCCCTGCAGCTCATCTTACTGCAGTAAAATGAAGAAAATCTCTGCTTGGCCAGGCCAGCCAGGCTACTACCATGATACCCTGCGCTTGAAGGAGGCGTAAACTGAAGCGCAGCCAAGACGGCATCCTTCATCAATGATGCCATCCTAATCCTCAACAACTGGCGCGAGGGAATTAGCTTGGCTGCGCTCCAAATCACGCTCGTTTACACGCCCTGTCGTTTGGAGAGATCATGGCTGTACTTCCTCGCAAAAAGGGTCTTAATGAGGGTCCTTCTCAGATCATAAAGAGAAGCACCTTCCAGTGCTCATGCGATCGAGCAGCAATATTGAAACGATCATGATTACGTCCCCAGCGACATGATTCCTACATAGGGCTTGAGACTCCGATGCATCGTGCATATCCTGAATTCCTAGGCTATAGGACCTGGCTTGTTGGAGGAGAACATTTTGAGGCCTAGAAACGCTAACCTCGACATCCTTACCCTTGCCGAAGGGTATAGATCAACGGATCCACGTTTCGTTGCATGGCGCAGCAAAAACGACACAAAGGGGGTCGTGCAGCGCACAGCGGCGGTCACAGCGAAGGTGATTTCATTGACCCAGTATTAATATTAGGGCATGTCGTACCGTGTTTGCCCCCTCCCCCTCCTAGTTGGCGTAGGTGGCGCCGCGGTCGAAGCCTTATACAACTACTTACTCCGAATAGTTGAAATCAGTGTTTGCTTGAGGACGAC